GGGGGGGGGCAGGAAGTCAGAGACCCCTCCAAGCTAACCAGAGACTGTCCTGTCTCGGGGACAGGTCGTCACTGGACAGAAGTCCTCAAAGTCGCCCTGTGGCCTTCCGTGACGAGTGAGAGGCCACAGCACAAGGCAAGAGCATGTGAATGTGCACTTGGGGGTCTCCCTCAGCTGGTCAATCTGTGGTGAGGGCCTGGGACCCACCGCTGAGGCAGGAGGATCCTGAGAGGGTGGCGCCTCCACCGCGTCGCCCCCTCTCGATGCCGCTTTGTCCCCAGAGTAGGGCCTGCCTCGGCCGAGCCGCCTCCAGGGAGGCACTGGGCGCAGCCCCAGCTCTACTCCCTCCTACGTGCGTGACCCAGTGCAAATCACTTCATGTTCTGGACCTCAGTTTTCCCATCTGTAAGACGGCTTAACGACAGTCCCGTGGTCGCCGCCACATAAACGTCTTTACGCGATAACGCCAATGCCTCCTTGGCATGACGTCAGAAAGGAGTGTCACAGGCCTCTCTACCTGGGCTTGTCGGGACAAAGAGGCGGCTACCTCGGGGAATACCCCTGACTTGTCCTGTCACCCAGGGGCCACCTGCTCAGGGAACCTGTCCCCTGCCTTCCCGGACCAAGGCGCGGCCCGTCCTCCCAGAGCTCCCAGCAGGACCAGGAGTGTGACCGGCCAGGTAGCACCAGGAGCGTGCTGGCGCGCTTCTCCCGTGGCCCTCGGGCCCGTCGGCCAGGCAGACGGCAGGCCCTCAGCAAATGGCGCTGAGGTCAGGGCCGGCCCATCGGGCAAGAGACTGCGCCAGTCACGAGCCCCGGTTGGTCCGGGCCCCAAGGGAACGGGAATCTACCTGGACACTGGGGGTCATGGCGCGCCCACACAGTAGGCGGAAGGAGGCGCCTGGTCCCAAAGGGGACCCCAGAGCCGAGTCCTGTGGTGTCCCGAGCGGAGGATCCGCCCTCCTCTCTCGCCACCCACCCCCCGCGAGCACCTGTCCCCTTCGGCAACCAGACCCCCGTGGGGTGGGGGTGTTCACCGCTGAGATCAGGGCCCGGATGAGACGCTGGGGCCCAGACCGGAGGGGCTGCAGAGACCACACCAGACTCACTCCCTGACGGCCCCGTGTCACAGTCACTCACCAGCCCACGCTGACCAGGTGTCGACCACACGTGCAGGCCGCCTCCTCCAACACCACACAAGTTCACTCCCGCTAACCGCCC